CATCATTAATATTCGAGTTGTCAAGAGGATCAAGCATAGAACCAAACACGCATGTAAAGAAACGAAGTAAAGCTTTATATATTACAAAATAAGAAGAAACTGAGAATGCAAACTGGGCAGAAGTTTTAGTAAGTGCGCTATTAATGATTTGTCGGAATCTACAATGAAATATAAGTGTCAATGGTGAATAACCAGTATAATATTCAATTTAATATATCTGTACTTGCTTTTTTTCCTTCCTAAGACGTGCTGGTATCTGCATTGTAATAACCACAAAAGTTGCAATAATATAAACTTTGAAAAAGTTTGCAATTCCTGTTCTAGTATCATGAGGCAAGCAATCATAATGCAAGCACAATAGTGTGCTAAAGGAAGTCTTGTGGTTATGTAGTCTAGCACTAAATACGAAAAATAGCGTCTACGTAAAAATAAGTCAAATGGAAATTTACTGTTTTCAGGATATCAACAGAACTAACTTGGAAATAGCGTGAAATTCTTCTTCTGTTGGCAATTTTATGCCGGCCTTTTCTAAAGCTGGTTCTAGTAACTTTACGACATTTGAATATCTTTTGCGTGAAAGTACATAAGGCAATAGATATAAAAGGCGTGCCATTTGTTATCATAAACTTCTTCTGATGCAGTCATAATATAGAGAAAAAATTTTACTCGTGTAACTGATTGACCAATAAATTATATCTTTTCACGTCCTTTTCACGTCCTTCACATCACCACACGTCATAAAATTTAGGTAATGATGTCAATACGTAGTACTGTACAGCAATACAAATTCGGACGGACAAGACATATAAGTAACCATTTTTAATGGTTAATGTTAGAGTGAGCGTTAGTGTTGTCTTGCTTCATGTTGGGATTAGTATGGTGCTTGTAGACTAGAACCAACTAAGCAATAATTTTGCATTACACCTAATCGTGTAATCTGATTGGCTTTCTTATTACCTGTGTATATGAAATTTTCTTTTTATATCTTGTTTTTTTTCAAGTTTTTTAAAAAATTATGTATTATTTTGAATTTTCTTTTTCTTTAATTTAGGGTGTTCTCAAGCATCTCAATCAATTAAGTAATGAACATGATGACGCTCAAGCATCACAATCAATGACGATATTTTTAGAATTAAATGCTTGAGCATACTCTTTTTCTATTTTTCGTGATCTCGTTATGCCACCTAAAACAC